TGGCAACACTGGTTAATCCACAATTTAAAACTAAATTCTTCTCAATACAGGCAACACTGAGAGGTGAAAAAGCAAGATTGAAGTAAATCTTAGCATGCTGAGCAGCAGATTGACAAAACTGAAGAAAATCCAGTAAAACAAGTCCGGCTGGATCATTCTTCTACACCATCATCATTATCCTGGCAATATATCGATGAAATTTTTCAATCTACGTCAGCTGATGGCACAGCACATGAACAACAATTACCAACAGGCATTGACACTTAGCTAAATCAATATCTGGATAAACCAAAAATGAATGGACACGCTGATCCACTACAGTGGTGGAGTGACAACATCCCGTAAAAAAAATTCTATAGAATTTCTCTAAGCTTATGAAACATATGGTCTATAGAAACTCTATAAAATTTGTATAGAATGTAGTAGTGGTTGTAGAAAAATTGCTGCAACAGGTTTTCCTGTATAACCTACAGGTTTTGGCAGCCTTCATACACTAATTTTATTCATATCAATCTATAAAAATTTACAATAATATAATTATAGTATGAAGTATAAGTTTGCAATTTTTTTTTTTTTTTTTTTTTTTTTTATAGTTATAATCTCGATACTTATGTGGATTATTTGAAATTTCTGCATCAAACTGTACCTTGAAACTGTTAACTGATAAAGCGCATACAACTTCTGACGACAATGCATTCCAATGATTCACTATTCGATTATTAAAAAACTGGTGTCTTTGCTCGCAATTTTGAACATATTCTCTAGTCATTTTTAAATGATGTCCTCTAGTTTTTATTTTATTTGACTCCCCAAAACGAAGGACATGGGGTTCACTCTATGAGACAATGTTTATATTGTTAATAATTTTATAGGCCTGTATCAGATCTCCCCTAATGCGACGGGTTTCTAAAGACGTTAAGTTTAGTATATTCAGACGATTTTTGTATGACATATGACGGTACGAAGGTATTAAACGGGTAGCTCTTCTTTGTACTTTCTCGATTTTGTCAATATCTATTCTTGATGATGGATTACTGGCTGTTACCGCAAATTCCATATGAGGTTATACAAAGGTTGTATATAGAATTTTAAGTAGTTGCGGAGTCATATGACTGAAAGTACGATGCAACATGCCTAATACACGGTTAGCTTTATTGGTTGCAAAAGTTGAATTGTTATGCCATTTTAAGTCTGGCGTAATCATGATGCCTAAATCACGTTCGATTAAAGTCAATGCTAGTTTGACACTGTTATTGTCATTAGCTAGCATTGAGTAGACATAAAAATTGTTTTTTTTTACCTATGTGCATGATTTTACATTTATCGAGATTAAGTTTCATTTTTCAGGTTTTACACCAATTGGCTATGTTGTAGATATCAGTTTGAAGCATTTGTGAAGCTAATGGGTGGTCTAAACGGGCCAGCAGTTTAGTGTCATCAGCATACATTTTACATGGATGGTTAACAATATCGGATATATCGTTCACAAAAATGATAAATGTCTATTAATTTCTATAAAAATTGCTATAAAACTTTTTTAATAACAACAATGAAGTTTAAGAGAAAACACCTGTCATTTGATATTCTGAATAGTCAACATGGTTGACCATCCTCAGCACTAAGTAGAGTTGTACAGGAATTTGTCTCCTGTAGTTTTGTTTCGAAATCCGGCTCCGGCTCCGATTTCGGCCGGATCTGTTAGTAGAAATCCGGCAAAACCGGCTCCGGCCGGATCTGGAAAAATTAAATCCGGTACAACCCTAATTATTACCCAGATAGCAAGTATATACTGGTCCGATAATGCCAGCGAGTTCTTTAAAGGCCGCATGAAGATCCGTTCTTGTATATCCAGTTCTGGGAAGCTGTAACAGGGCCATTGCCAAGCCTTTATAAAATTGCCTGAGCTGGGTAGACGCAAAAAAGCCAACGAAGATTTGCCGAAGCAGAACAACAGACATAGGGCCGATACTGACCCATCAGTGGCAAAATCAGATTTTTTTTTTTTCAAGACAATGAAAACATATATATTAATTAAACAATTTAGAAATACAAATTAAATAAGTCCACCAGTGGCAAAATCAAATTAATAATGATATAAGCAAGAGCATTTGCATTCACTGCGCAGATTTTTGCATCCATCTTGAAAGACGTTGTTTTCACTTTTCATACAAATATATTTTAAAACTTTATTGTTTAAAAAAATACTTTCAGGCGAATCTATATTGCGTACATTATGTACATTATGTACGCAATATATTGCGTACATTATGTACATTATGTACATTATGTACGCAATATAGATTCACCTGAAAGTATTTTTTTAAACAGTATGTTTTTATGTTATCGTTAAAAGTATGTTTTTATGTTATCGTTAGTTGTTACATTTTGTCAGTTTAATACTGTTTGTATACAAACAGTATTAAACTTGGGGCCCCAAGAAATCTTAATCCGCCACTGGTTATGATATTATAAGAGCTATAATTAATATATTTACTAAATCATTATAATTTTTTTTAGCAATAGTTGTTTTTATGTTATCGTTAGTTGTTACATTTTGTCAGTTTAATACTGTTTGTAACTGTAACTTTGTATGTATAAGCGATTGTTGTATAGAAAGTTATACCAATTTATTTAAATTGCTATATTATTTATATTAATTACTATATTATTAATATTACTATTTTTAAAGTAACATGTTATTATTATTATTTATTATTATTGTTATTATTATTATTATTATTATTATTATTATTATTATTATTATTATTATTATTATTATTATTATTATTTATCATTATTTTATTATAAATATTTTTATTATTATTATTACTATAACTATTTTAATCATTGTTATTAGGTGTTTACTTAATATTAGTATTTTATACTATTTGTAAGCAACCTTGAAATGTAATACCAAATATTTCAGAAAATATATTGGTTGATTGATTGATTGATTGATTAAAATAATTTCTAAATAAATTATTGCAATTAATTCTTTTGTTAAATAAATAAAGTTTCGTTTATGATATGTTGTTACATGTAATTTGTAGTGTATACACTACAAATAACATGATATATTAACATTGTTTACATCAAACATTAACCATTAAATTAATTTATTGTTTAAATTAAGAAACTTAAAACCTAATTTATGGTAACTGAAGAATGATTGATATTGATAAAAAAAACTGATAGAAATGTTGGTTTGATAGGAAAGGAAATATATAAAATGTATGTATATTATTGCGTGGATTACTTGGGCAATTTTACTTTATTTTATTATCTTTTTGTTGTCATATTCATAACTTTTCTGTAATTTAATTTGATTGTTATTGACGCATTTATCTTTTATATTCTTGTAGTTTAATAGGAATAATATAAAGATAACATATTCTTTATAAATATAGTATAAGAATGTTATTGTGTTATGCAAAGTCAAAAAATGGATACCTAAGTATTACTAACATATGAAGCACTAGATAAGAAAAGTTACCAAGTCTATATATCTAGATTTGAACATATAAGTGTTTTTAACAAAATAATTTGAAGAATCCGTTGTTGACTTTATTATTATTATTATTATTTTTTTGACGAGTTTAATTATTATTTAATATTTTTTTTCAAATAAATTTGCTAATTTGTTTACTTATATATACAAATAATAAACCAACAAATTTGTGATACGCATTATTAGTGTATAGTCTAACAAAAGTAGATGCCAAACTTTAACAGCTTTTCACTGTTTTGTATATATTTATCGTAGAGTGTTAAAAATATAACTAAGTTATATATTATCGCTTTCACAACTTCTAGTTATAAATGGTTTTATTAGCCAGCTATTCTATTTTATTCTATTGAATTTTATTGAATTTTACAGCTATTTTATTCTATTCTATTTTATTGAAAAAATAATGTTGACTGTTTGATTTTTTGGATTGTTATATATCATCTATTGTTGTCTTTTGTGAAAGAATTTTTTTTTAAATATTAGAGCATTATGCCAATTTATTACATCCAAGTCATTAATAGTTCTGTATAGTTATATCACATCACCTCTTGATCTTCTAATTTTTAATGTGGAGAGAAAGGTTTTTCAGTGAGTTTTTACATGATAAATTTTTTAAACTATAAACACAAATTGTTCTATGTTGGAGTTGCTCAATCATAATAACATGTTTCTGTATATGTAAACTCTTTAATGGGGTTCAATATTCAAGGCGAGGTTTAAATAATAATGTACTATTAATGCTATATTTCTTTTATCTAACATTTTCAAGGAATTTTTGATTTGTTCTAATGTCAAACTTCCAAAATCATTTTTTCTCTATAATTTCATTTTTAAAATGCTTTCATTAAAAGTTATAAAGAATTGCCAATAATGATGCTATTAACCTGATTTTTGTTTTAGTATGTAGGATATATTTTTATATATTTCGTTTTAGTATGTATCAGGAATGCGGAGTCCCAAAAAGGACTCCAGATTTGAAAGTCACAAAAAAATTACTTCTTTCTAGTTTTTGGTATCCAGGAGCTTTAAAAATATAAGAAAGGTTATGGGCTACTAATGGGAAAAAAATCAAGACTTATAAGTCAGAAGAACAATCAATTTTTAAACCCGTAGTCCTTGGTATAATGGCGGCAAGGACTCCAGACTTAAAAACAATAAATTCCAAGCCATTAAATATCATAAGTTTTTTTCTTATAGCAGATCATTAACATGATGGCCACTGTCCTGGAATGTCCTGGATTTTTGCAAGTGTCCTGGAAAGTCCTGAAATGTCCTGGAAAATTACTTTTTTTTTCAAAAATGTTTTTAAATGTCCTGGAACTTTTTTTTTTAAGTTTCAAGAGTCAAGTTAAAAAATTACTCATAATATTGAAGTAATATTAAGTTTTTTATGCGAAAAATTATTTTATATAAATGGTTTTTTATAAATAGTTTTTTATTTTTTGAACTTAATTTTAAATAAGAGAGTAATAATAATATAATAATATGATAACATAATATTTCATTCTATAATTCAATCAATATGAAAAAAATATAACGTAAAGATAATTGATAATATTCATTTAATAAGATACAAAATGTCCTGGAAAACACAACAAAATGTCCTGGAATGTCCTGGAATTTAACTTTTAAAATTTTGTGACCACCATGATTAATCAATCAACATGTTTAAAGCTTCTGGGCGCTAGAGACCATAAAAAAATAAAGTTATAAAGCAGGAGTCATTTTGGGACTCCGCATCCCTGGTATGTGTACTCCAAACTATCTGCAACTGTGATTATAAAACTCCATTCCATAGGTTTGATGCCTTTTCTTATTTCGTTATTTTATATGAAAAACTTGATATAAAATAATTTTAACTATAAGATTTAATAATATTGATGTTTTTTTTTTAGAGTTTGTGATGATTAATTTGCCATCACATAAATGTAGCAAATATTAATGAAGCTATGTCAATAAACAAAATGTTGACACAAAAATGCCAAATCTCAATTTAAACGGTTCATCTAAATGTGGTAAGTTTACACGTAATCAAATAAGTTATTAATATTTCTGTTTTCAGTGTTTAAATAAAGGAAATGTTTTTTTCCTTTATTTTTACTATTACTAATGACTAGATTTACTGTGTTTTATAAAATCGTTTCTGTGTATAAAAATATATAGGAAGACTGAGAGGCATTTTAATTTTTATTTTTAAATTTTTTATTAAGTTTTTGTTTATTCAAAATAACTTTTACAATAAAAGAATGAATAAAATACATACAATAAGAGTTACAAATTTTGTTGACTTGACTCATGAAATGTCAAATCTCAAGACATTATTTTAAAGACAAATTTTTTATGGAGTTTTGGTCCATAATAACCACATGTTTTAATAAATACATTTGTAAGTATCATGCATTTGGTTGTAATTGTAGATTTTCATTGTGATATTCATTACGTTTTAGTTCACAAAGTTATAAAAAGGTCCTTAACTCAAGTCTATGTAACTATGGTTTGTTGTTAATGGATTTAACTTCTTCGTCAATAATAAAAATAGTTGTTATTGTAACATGCTAACCATGTTGTATATAAGTTGTGACCATTTTGTATACATGTTGTTACTATATTATATAAGTATAAATGTAATAAATTATTAAGTTGTGCTTATGTTTGTTTTTATTCTGTTAAAGTTAAAACGGATGCAAGCACTAAAGAAGACAACGTTACAAACTGAAGCAGAAATTTATAACGAATCATGTAGACGATTGGATATGAATCGCAGAAAAGCACCATTGTCGAATGGTTATGAATCAAATCTTTGTATTATAATTGCGTAAATATATTTTAAAATTTAAGCCTGTTTTTCAAAATTATTCATAATAATTAAAATTTTCAATAATCATGTGTTTAATACATTTTATTGTCCTTAAACTAATCAAAAATACGCCAATTTTAAACCAAAAAATTACAGTCGATTATGCTAAAAACAACTTAAATAATTAAGAAGACGAGGTCCAAAAGGAAAATATAGGGGCTTCAAATAGGATTGCCCGATGAAAATCCACAACAATCCCATGTGTGACCCAGTTAGTTAAGAAAGACAAAATCACGATGGTACGGTAAAATACAATGGTATGTAAAAATGGCTAATTGTTGTTCCGGCTGTTCTTGTCCCGCACTGGCTAGCCGTTGTTTTGACATCGCTGGCTAGCCACGGCTGGTCCATGAAAAATCCTTAGAGCAAAACGGAGCTTCGCGAGCGTCGGCAGCCGAAGCCGGTCCAGCGTGGCAACCTATACAGGACCAGTGTGGGACCATTATATTTTTACTGTCTGGGTATTAAATAGAATAGTGGTGGCCAAACCACTGTCCGCGGGCAAAAACATGCCCGCAGACTTTTTTATATGCCCGTTAAACAATTTGGATATTTAAGAGACAAAAGTAATATGATACTTCTATCTACCTCAAAAATCAATCCAGGCATCAAAAAACTAGTTTCAGACGGTCAAGTTCACCACTCTTAATAATTATATTGCTTTTGTACAAATGATTATAATAGTTATTAGTCACTTATATTTTCGTAGAAGTTAATATTTTTTGCCTGCAAAAAACTTTTTTTTGCCCGTATCCTAAAAAGTCTGGCCACCCCTGAAATAAAGAATGACGTAAATAATTTATTAAATGATCACTAATTGAGTTGACTTGTTCAAAGAACAAATTGTTGCTTGTACAGCTAATGCAGATCAAGCCACCTGCGAAAAAACAGGGAAAATATTTACGTTTTTTCTTCAGTGTTCTAAAGGGCAATTATCACTGTTTATGGTTTGCAAACAAACGTAGATACCAATTTCCGTAACTATGCAATCTTCAATGCATTGTTTTTATTAAATTTTGCTGTTTTTCAGATACTCTTTCTTGAACACAATGTCAACTAAATTTTTTGGTAAATTTTTAATATTGTTGTTATTTATAGAATTTATACAAGGATTGATTTCGCATACCTTAAAATCAGCTGACATTTTAATTAGATGGTTTTTCACAACTGAAAGCTCGTTTTCACGGCTTTAAACCTAGGGTCTAAATAATTTTAGATAAGTAGCGTAACGTTCGCTAAATTAAATCGTGTCTAACTGCGAAAGTAACTCCTTTTTAAAGCTGCTCATAAACCTACAACTTAACGAATCTAATTGAACTTTTTAAGTATAAATGCAAGATTAAAAATTTATAAAACCAAACTGATAGCGATAGTGATAGCGTCAGTGATGCGATAGTGATAGCGACAGTGATCTGACAGCGGAATCATTAATAAGCAGCGTTGTTGCATCCGATATTAGTTCTAAAAATGGTTTACAATTTTTTTAGAATATCTTTCAACGCCACAGATAAATGCTTAATAATTTTGCGCATCTACCACTTAAAGCGCATTCCGTAAGAGCCATTGTTATCGCCGTACAATTTTCACATGACTAATTCAGAATTTAAATGTACTGTTAAACCTGGTTGCAACATCAAGTGGTGGATAGGATTCTCGAAGTCCTTGTTCAAGTTGATGTTTCTTTAAACATTTTAGACCTAGAGAAGAACTGTTGAAAAATCAGCAATTTTGTGTACCAAACTAATAAGGTTTTTAACTTGCTGTTAAACATTCAAAGCTCTCTTGATGCATAGTTGAAAAACATGTGCAGCACATGACTACCATGTAATTCTTAAAAGACTAGTGGCAGGCATTGCGTTTGTTGCGTGTGTGGTTGTACATAGAACGTTTTCTATTTCAATATTTTAGTTGATTAATAATAACCTTTTTTTGTTTTTTGAGAAGTATGATTATTGATATCTTCAAGATTTACCACAGATAAGCAATATGATATTAGCTTCTGTTAGAGTTATATAATGTTAAAACTAAATAGTGGCTATTATTTGTAGCTTTCCAATCATCAAAGGTGATGGAACATTTACAATCTGATATTTCTGCAAGTATTACTGTTTTAAATTTACATTGTTTTTAAGTCACTTATCTTACGTAAAAGCGTAGATGGATGGGAAGGTTTATAGTTTTTATTAGTAAAAGTCGAACACAATTTTATAAAACCCTTACCAGCGAATTTTTTAAAAGAGCGTCCATCTACAACAATAAATTCCAATACAACTTGGTCAAATATTTTCCTATGTTTAATCGAGATTGTTAAGAAAATCAGACATAACGCTTTGCTTAGATTTTTTTAAGAAAATGCCTTCCGAAACCTCTGGTTTCGTTTTTACATTTTTTTGCTCGATCTGCTTCAGCTTAAGTAGGAAGCATCTTGTGCTTCAAGTCCGTCTAAGTGACTCCAGAGATGTGATGCTATGCCAGAGTTTTGTACACGTAAAGTGGCTTTGCACGTTTTACATAAATAAAACTGATCTCTTACTTCAAAGAACTACTTAATGACTCCCGCCATTGCATAAATAAGAAATATAGTAATTTTAAAAAAATCAAAAATGAATTTTAAAAAACACGTTTTCTAAAATAATTCCATGTAATAAACGTGCAACAGATATTTTTTAATTCGTTTTACAACATCAACTTTACAACATCAACTTTACAACATCAACTTTACAATATCAACTTTACAACATCAACTTTACAACATCAACTTTACAACATCAACTTTACAACATCAACTTTACAACATCAACTTCACAACATCAACTTAACAACATTTGTGAAAAAATGTTTCTTAAATTTAATTGCTCTCCGTGAAATAAATGTACAAAAATCAAAGTATGTTTTATTAGTTTTGATTAGTAAAGCATGGTGGAGTTTTAAAATCGTTGAAAAGAATAATATATGTATATATATATATATATATATATATACATATATATATATATATATATATATATATATATATATATATATATATATATATATATATATATATATATATATATATATATATATATATATATATATATATATATATATGTATATATAAATATATATATAGATAGATAGATAGATAGATAGATAAATACGCATATTTAATGACTATTTGTACTACATGACAAAATTTGTCATTTAGTACTAAGTTTAAGTTAAGTATAACTTAACTATAACTTAACTTAGTTTAAACTATTTAATAGTTTAAAATAACACTTTAAATTTCTGAAAAAAAAATTTTATTAAATAATTTTCATATAAACTATATTAGTTAGTAAAATTAAATTACATGGAACAGGCGTGTTCCGTAAGCCTATTAATAGCTAGCCAAGCTAGCTCTTTTATGATTGCACGGAAGAAAATGCGCTGTAGTAATTGTTGCGCTATAGTAATTGTAGTAGCTGATCGAATTTTTCTTTGAAGTAGTTGACACTATGAGCACAGACAATTGTTGCCCATTTCACAAATAAAGCACTTGCGATGAATTTAGCTTGGTAGGATGTTAAGTAGAGCAACATGCAAGCTAACTGAGTTAATATTGTTCTTAATTGTGTATTTTTAGGTGATGTTTCTACGTATACGCCTATCGAGTAGTAAGGTTAGTCCAAGTTTGATGCATCTTGTCTCTTAGTCAAAACGCTTCATTTTTTTTGGTTCTTTGGTAGTCCGATGATGGATGCGTTCTATATATTTTCGAGGTAAGAGCATCAGGCGGTAACTGCGAAGTTGAGATGTGGGCGTTTATAGGTGGTATAAAGCTTTTTTCGTATTTTGGTGTCTCTGCTGATGCATTATTGGCTTACGCAGCAGCAGTTTTGGCTTGATTCTTATGCTTTAAGTTGTTGACAATTTGAACACCTTGATCTTTTTCGGATGTTGTTGACTATGGTTCGGTTCTGCTGAATTTGCTATTTGCGTTATACTCGTTCATTGATTAAACGTCTGGCAAAACGTTGTGTTTGTTGATGTGCATAACCTTTTCTTTTCATGACGTTGAGCTCCATAAACCAGGTTCACGTCCAGGTTACAATGCTATCCATATCAGCTTACAGGCGAGCTTTGTCATCAGCGTTTTTGACGACGCTCAAAATTTTAGTATCGTCTACGTAGATTACAGATGCTTTTACTACAAACGTGTTCAGGTAAGTTGTTAATGAATCATCAGGTTGTTGATGAAGATTATGAAGATCGTAGGACCTAGCACTGAACCTTGCAGAAAGCCACTGGTGACTTATTCCCAATTGGATGAGGTGCTACTAAGAAGAATCAGTTGTGGTGGCAACAGCAGAACCATCATTACGTCAGTTAGGATTTGCAACGTTACATAATTTTATCAAAGAGATTATTTATATACTATATTGCAACAATAGCGCCAAATTTAATTTATCAAAAAATTTTCTCAAAGGGATCGTTCTTTAATTACGCAATGCTAAATTTATTTAAAAAAAGATCTTTAGTTCTTTTACGCAGCGATTTTCATTAAACTTAATATCTGTTTTTATTTTTGATTTAACTTAAGGCTCTGCGAGGAAAAATTCTTGATATTTTTTCTTTTGTTTATTAGTAAAGTTAAGCGTAGCGTAATTTATGGACAATTCCAAAGCCATCTAATATAAAATTACCCAGGTCACTGATTCCTTGATTCCATTACGCTGTAGAGATGGCCCATCTTTACAGCGTTACGAATCAGGGAATAAGTGACCTAGGTAATTATATATTAGATGCTTTTGAAGAAATTATTTATAAATTAATTACCTCATTTCAACATCCTTGGCATTATTGTATAGATTAAACCCCAAAATTACCTAATAATTGCTTTGATAAACATTAAGAATATCCATTAATTATACCCATGATTTTTCATGTGTAAAATGCGAGAATATAGTATAAGAAATATCTCATTACTTAAACCTTATCGCTGCCCTAATCCAAACTCTCATTTGATTTAAAATCATTCTTTGAATGATGATACTAAATTATTCAATGTATGTGGCGTACTAACCTAACCCTACTTCTGAAGTTTATTACACTTTTATTAGTTACACTTATTACAGTTTATTTATTACACTTCACCCGTTAAAATTTTTTTTTATTTTAACAATATCTTATTATTGTTAATAATTTGAGCAAATCTGAAAAACTGTCCAGATCTTTAATCTCCGTTTTGAAATATTTTTTCCGTTGAAAAAACAAACTTGCTGATTGCAAAGTCATCGTTTTTTTAAAAAAAAAAAATAGCAAGCAGCAAATTATCACTTCAATAAAACAATCATTTCAGTTTGTGCAACTTCACGACCTCGTATTTCCCACTTAATAAAATTGTATAACTTATGAATTATTCTGACTTGATTTTTTAAATAAAAGTAAATAAAAATTTGCTTATTATTTAAAGTGTTAGTAAAGATTAATGTTTAAGATTTAGTTATATAACTTAATTTTTTTAAATGTTATTTAAAAAAAAATGTCTGAAAAAGAGTTAGCATTTCTTAGTTACACCATCATAGTGTTATTGTTTATATGTTTATATACGTGCATATTATACTTTACAATAATGACTTTTTAAGAAATTAAAAAAAAAATTAGGTCATCTGGGGCCCAATAACTTTGCGCCCTCCCACGGCTGCGGGCCCATCGCTACGCTGCAGCCAAAAATGTGTGTTTTAGAGAAATACTTTTTAAACTTTGATTATTTTAATATTCTAAATGTTTTTGAGATAAGTAATAAGTTAACAAAGAAAGAAACTCTCCTTAAAAGTATATATACTTGAAGATAAACGAAAAAATAATAAATAAATAAATAAAATAATATTTATCATAATATTAAAATAAATATTCCGTTAAAAATTCAAGATGCATTGTATCTATTATATATGTAGATTGCAATTGTTAATGATAAGTATATAATTTTTATAAATTCATATTTAAATGTAAAAAGGGTAAAAAGAAGATCACAAAAAAATATCAGAAGTATATATTGAATCTTCAATTTTAAAAATGAGTTTTTTTAGCTTTCTTTTAAAAGAAAAGTAGTTGGTTTGATAAATAAAATCCTCATTAACATTTTTAAAACCATTTTATTCCATAAAAATGGTTCCTGATAATCCAAAATTTGTTTGAAAAATGGGCAGCTTAATAAAATTATCATTGAATAAAATGTATTTATTTTTATCTTTTGATGAATACAAATTATGGAAAAAAATTGGGGATGAATTGATTTAACATTCAAACATAAAACAAAGAATATTAAAAGTATTAAGGTCAAACATATTAAAAACTTTCATTTCAAATATTAAAGGCTTGGCATGAGTATAACGGTCTTTAAAATATATTAGACGTGCTACATACAATATCGGGTGGACACGGAAAAATCCGGTCATCTTTAAATTGAGACTTCTCCAAAACCACAAATGCTTTTTATTTAATTTTTTTTTTTTTAATTAAACCTTACTTCCTTATCTTAAATGGTATTGATAAATTTTTATTTACAAATTAATTATTTGCAAAATGTTTTGGAAACAAGTTGAGGTGCGTAAAAAAGTTGTGAACTTTTTTTGCAAAAATCCATCGACTTCCTATCGCTTGATTGCTAAACGCACAAATGTCCCAAAATCTACAGTCATAGATATTATAAACAAGTTCAAGACTACTCAAAGCTTTGAAAGAAAACTTGGAAGTGGAAGAAAAAAAACTTTCCATAAATCCAAAAAGGTAAAGTCGATTTTACGTTCAATAGCAAGAAATCCAAATCAGTCACAGCGAGATCTAGCAAGAAAATTTAAGACTTCTCGTTCTTATATCAAAAAAGTACTTACACATGCTGGAATTAAAGCATTTCATAAAAAAATACACCTAAGAGAAGCTTAAATTGTGAAATTAAAGGAATTTGACGCGCAAAGAAGTTGATTAAAATAATGGTGGATAAAAATATGTGCATAATTGAAGACGATGAAACGTATTGCAAGGCGGATTTTTCACAATATCCTGGTCAACAGTTTTACTATGAAAACAAAGATAAACCTGTCGATGATCAATTCAAATATATTCGACGAGAAAAATTTGCATCCAAGTTCCTTGTGTGGCAAGCAATTTGTAGCTGTGGTATGCAGTCCTCTTGTTTTGTCACTAAAAAGACCTTAACTGCTAATCTCTACATCAAAGAATGCCTCCAAAAAAGACTTTTGCCTTTTAAAAAAAAACACAAATACCGATGTCTCTTTTAGTCCGATCTTGCTGCCTCTCACTATTCTAAAAAAGTTTTACAGTGGTGCAAAGATAATAATGTGAAAATTGTTCCTAAAGATGCGAATCCTCCAAATCGTCCTGAAGAGCGCAAGATTGAAGATTTTTGGGCAATAGTTAAAGGAGTTCTTCGTAAGACAGGTGGACTAACAAATAATAAGAAGGACTTCCAAAAAAAGTGGATTAATGCCACCAATATGGTGAAAAAAGAAAAAAATCTGTAAAATGATGACATCAACCCGCTTAAAAGTTCGATTTCTTGCCAAGCAACCCATCAAGCCCCTTAAAATTAAGTTGAAGCTCTAATTTATGTAAACTTATTTGATAATAATAAATTGAAATAAAAAGCATTTATGGTTTTAGAGAAATCTCAATTTAAAGTTGAGCGGATTTTTCCGTGTCCACCTGATAAATCTGCTTACAATATACAATAAATACAATAAACTTGCATAATAAATACATATTTAATAAATACATAATCTACACACAAAATCTGCATAATAATTACAATAAATACAACAAATAATGCAATATATCTGCTTACAATGAAAAATCTGCTTAAAATAAAGAAGTTTAAGTTTACTTTTATTTCTACTGCTTTAAGCAATGCAAAGTGCAATGCAAATGCAAAATCTTTTATTCATTGTCACATAAGCAATGCAAAGTGCAATGCAAATGCAAAATCTTTTATTCATTGTCACATAAGCAATGCAAAGTGCAATGCAAATGCAAAATCTTTTATTCATTGTCACATAAGCAATGCAAAGTGCAATGCAAATGCAAAATCTTTTATTCATTGTCACATAAGCAAAGCAATGTTTGCATTGCTTATGTGACAATGAATAAAAGCAATGTTTGCATTGCTTATGTGACAATGAATAAAAGAGTGATTGTACTAAAGCATGTTTGTTCAAAACATTTCTTGCCATGTACAGTATTCCTATAATTTTTGAAATTTTACTTGATATGTTTTTAATGTGATTTTTCCAAGTAGGATTTTTATATGTACAAACATCTAGAAAGTTGGATACTGATACCTTTTTGATTTATATATTTTCAATAACAAATTGAGGCATGTTAATTTGCACTTTTTTGATATGAGGATGGAAACGAATTTATTCAGTTTTATTAATGTTAAATGGTAATTTATTAGTCTTAAACCATTCAGATATTTTGATTTACTCGATGTTCACGTAATTAAATAGAGCAGGAATGCTTTTGTGTGACACGAATAAATATTTACAAATTTCATGCAATTACATCATTTTTTTTTTCATCAATTACATTTTATGACTTTTAGCTTTCATTTTCTTAATTACATTTTGAAAAGGTGAAAACAGGTACATACAAACTTTGTTTAGTTATTAAGGTGTTTGAGTTAAGGTGAATTTGAATAGACATTAGCAGAAAATACATTTATATAATACATTTACTATTATACATTATTTCAACAAACTACTGTTAAACAAAAAGATGATAGACATTATAAACCACATATAAACAGGAGGCATGGAATATGGAGGCGGTTTGGTTATGTGTTTCATAGAAGTAAACCTTTAAAAATTAAATACAAAAACTAATACAATTGTCTTTATTATATTTAAAGAAAAATATTGTAAAACAAATTTGAAGTTTTTACTCGAAAGATTTTTTTATTGATTTATGGAAAAACTTGATTCGCAGGCTAAAAAAATTTGATGCGCGCATTTGTATTCGGTAATTATGAATTCTTGCGAGCAATATTACAGATCTTGTGCATGTAAAAAAAAGGTGTTTTTTATTTAATGAATATGATCTAGCTCATTTCTTATCGCCGCATGCTGAATTAGAGTTATGGGTGGAATTTCGGAAACAAAAGATTCCTACTAAAATTACTATTTAATAAACCTTATATGTTCATGGTTATGAGAAGCTTTTGTAATATTTTAGACACTTGCTACAATATTAATCACAAAGTCTGAGTGCGAAAAATTATTATTTACAATATTTTTTTGTTTTTTTTAATTTTTGATAAAGACTATAAACAAATATAAAAAGATATATTCATAACTGTCTATCAAGAAAAAGAAAGAACTACCTGTCAAGGAAAAGAAAGAACAACCTATCAAGAAAAGGAATTCAAAAAGAGAGAGCTACTCTTAGGTAAAATTATAAATATTTTTGATAAACTGCTCATCAAGAAAATCCAGAAATAAAGAAATAATCTTAAGTAACATATTAAGAAATAATCTTAAGTAACATGACAGTTTACAAAGGAAGTGCAAAATATCGTGGCTATTGTTCTCATTGGTATACTGCGTTAAGTGAGTTACGTAATTTACGTTCTCATTGATGCACTGCGTTAAATGAGCTATTATGTATTGGATATCTAATTTTTGAATTGCATAAAATTATAAATTGCCAAGGCAACAACCAGCAAATCACGATTGTGTTATTAGACATTTTTTAAATAAAAAAGTTTGAGAAACAATTAAAATAGTTATAATAAATTATTTTTACATGACAAAGTGTTTGACAAGCCTAAGTAGTGAATCAACCTTAGGTCACTGAGGTTTGATAACAAGCTCTTTGCATGAAACAGTGCACTTAGAATTAATCAAATGGTTTAAAAACGGAGTTCATTTCTTTGTAAAAACCTAATATATCCTTGCTTGTTAACTTTTTTTTCTTCTATTTCTTCTAATTTAGTACGTTTGTTTCACTTTTAAAATCTTTTAAAAAGCTATAAAATGACGCTCATGTGCTTACCTTTTACCTTACAATCCAAATTTCTACTCAGTTCTCTCTCCAAAAGGAAATTAGAAGTATAGTAATTCACATAAAACTTGGTCATACAGTTATAAATCCCTTGATCCACGCTTGCATATAAGAAGTGATAATTCTTATATATTAATAGTGATTAATAAATATAATTCAGATTTTACTTTTTTTCATTTTTTATTTTTAATTGGATAAGACGGGTCTCAGGCAATTTTTTTGGCTAAATTTAGGGTGAAATGGTCCTCTAGCATCTTGTTGTCAAAGATTTTTTTTAATGCAGTTTACGTATACATTATTGATTATTTGATGCTAACTTTTAGATCATAAATTAAATTCATAAACATATTGTGCAAAGTTTAATTTTGCGTTACTATTTAACTATATCTTGTTTCATTAAAGGTTTAACATTACTTGTCTTTACAGGTATTTAAAAAAGTGGTGTAACTAAATTAAATATAAGATATAAATAATCAAATTACAAGCAATATAGGAGAATAAGCGGTGTTCAATCATTCGGATTAAAAACCCCTTATTACCCAGCCGTGTTAAGAATATGTAAAAAACATTTTATCTCACAAAATTATAATGTTTATTAATAATAAAAGTTAATGAAGCCTTATGTTGATTGTTTTGCATATCAAAGATCTAAATTCGTCTCTTATTGTCATGGATACACGTCTTATAATACTTTTTTTTTCAATACTTTATAATCAATTTTTCAAAACAGTGGCATTTATTTTTAAACTTAGAGCCATCTGATATCACAACATAGATCCGCCTCTGAGAGCAAATGTTTGTTCTTTAGTTTCTAAACTGTTTTTATTATCAAGACAAAAATTCATTTTTGAGTCTCAAATATTTACTTTATTTTTAACATTTAAATCTTTCATAGATAACCCATTTACAACAAATTTATATTTAAATCTGTTATCAGCCATGCTATATTCAGACGTAACTAGAGATTTTGAATCTAAAAGTTCTCACTTTAACAATACTGAGTCAAGGTTTAATAGTGTTGAGTCAGGATTTATAATTTTTGGATTAACGCTTATAAGTTTTATTACAACAGCTGCAAACATTTGTGTTTTTATTGCATATTTTAGAAATCAGAATCTTCAAACTCCTTCGAACTGGTTGTTAATATCTTTAGCAGTAGCAGACACGTGGGTGGGTGCAGTTTCTATCAACTTTTTTACAGTTTATTTTGTCTATGGATATTGGCCGATGGATCGACTTGTATGTAACTTTTGGTTATCAACAGATTATTGGTGCAGCCATGCGAGTGTGATAAACTTACTTGTTATTTCAGTTGATAGGTATCTGATGGTCAGAACTCCTTATACTTATAGGTTTATGCGAAATAGTGTTCGTCTAAAGTCTACTATATTTTTTGCATGGTTTGTGTCATTTATACTTTCAGTACCTTGGATAATATCATATCCATATATAGTTGGTAAGCAAGAGGTTCCTCATGATATGTGCTATATTCAGTTTCTTAAACAGAGTGTCTTTATGACAATTTTCACCGCTTTATCGGCATATTATATTCCATTATTAATTATGTTTGTAATGTATTTTCGGATATATACTTTTTTGCAAAAGCGTAAACAAACTGCTAACAAGCTAAGATGCCCAAATGTTTTAAACGAACCAGTTGCAAGTCCCTCTGGGCACGTGTCTGTTTTGCAAAAAAACATTTCCTCTGTGGAAAATGATAAAATGTTTTGTTTGACTTTTCAAGTCTTGCCAAAAATTAAGTATAAAAACCATAACAAAGCAAAAAAATTGTTAATTTTAATTATCTTAGCATTTTCGATCACCTGGCTTCCTTATCATGTATTTGCAGTTATTTCGCCATTTTGTAAAAAATGTGTGACGGCTTCATTATGGAAATTCGGCTATTTGTCTTGTTACGTTAATTCGCTCATCAATCCGTTTTGTTACGCATTTGGAAATCGAAAATTTGCAGAAGCCATTAAATCTTTATTTTTAAAAAAAAAATGTTAATTATTGTGTGAACGATTAATGCAGATCTTCAATGTTTACTAGCTGTAAAAATGTATTATTATTGTTACCACGCGACAACTATTAGTTAGTGACTTAGCTACAATCAGCAAAACAATTCAGCAAAAAAAACAAAAAAACAATTCAGCAAAAAAAAAAAACGTTAAAGCTAACGCGTATATATTGTTATTATTATAAGTTAATTATTATAAAAAGCGTATATATTGTTATTATTATAAGTTATACTTTATAAGTTAAAACTAACGCGTAACCTAATTTTATTAAATATCGTCGGAGATAAACCGCGTAACTAGCATTGGATAATACCGCGTATCTAGAGTACATTTTTTTTTACTGGAGAAGTTTAAAACTTTATATAATTTTTATTTTAACTGATTTTGGGTTCATTTTAGTATAAAGAGTTATTCATGTTTTTTGTAATCTCAACAATAAATATTTAGTGTTAGTTACGCTAGTTACGCGGATTTGCACTATCCCCGATGATAGGCTAAAAGCGTATTTAATAAAAATAATCTGCGCTTATCACTTAGCGAAATTCAACTCATCAGTTTTTTATTTTTTTTTTGTTTTTTGTTTTTTGTCGTTTGTTTGTTCATTTAAAAAACGTTTTTCTAAATATATAAAAGTGTTTAAGTTTTAAATTTCAACAATGAAAAATTATTATAACCTATAAACTATTTGCACTTTGATAAACAAAAGACTTGTAACTCATATCCTTATTGGTAAAAAGAGAGTTTTATCGGACCATTTTTCCCATTCATTGGGAACTAATCATTAAAAGTAGAAAAACTTGAAAGAGACAAATCCAAAAGATTGAAAACTGAAGAATGATCATTTTACTAATCTGTGAAGTTTGTGTCCAAAAAATCCAGGTTTACATTTTAAGTGAAAATATTATTAGCTTAAAAAAATCCAGGTTTTTACATTTTGACAAAATTTTTAAATTAAAACTACTCACAATAAATACCAATTAAAATAGAATTTAAAAGAATGATTTTTTTTTAAACAAAGCAAAAATAATGCAAAAGTTTTAATATAATTTCAATTATACATTACAAAAGAAATATGGGTTGAAACATCCTTCTCTTAAGCTTTTTATTGGCTACAGAATCCTTCTAATAGGCATATTATTGGCTACAGCATTCTTCTAATGGGGATATTATTGACTGCAGCGTCTTTCTGCGAAGCTTTCTATTACCTTATTAAGTATCTAATTTACTTAAAAAAAAATAATAATAAAAATAGATTTAAATTACGCATAACTCGCACTTATAGTAATGCTTTTTTGCTGTTATTTTTTATTACAATTACCATACATCTATCATTTACAAGTGAAACACTGAATCTAAGCTTGAGAAACACTAAAGCTAAGTACCATTGAAAAGTGATACTTATTTCTTTGCGCCGCGACCTTGTTTGTCTAGGTTTGGGTATTGGAGTTAAAGAATTTAGGGTTGTAACCATATTAACAAAAAATAGGGTTGTAACCATATTAACATAAAAGAGAGTTGTAACCATAAAAACAAAAAATAATTACCATTTTGTCTCGGGAGAGAGGTTAAATATTATTAAAAAAAAAGCAGGCCCCAAAAGCCTTTTCCCGTTGTGTTTGCATAATTTCTAAGTACTTACTGGTGCATTTTTTAAAGGTAATGACACATTGTTAGAGCATTTTGTTTCTTTCACTACAGGTAATGATATATGTAAGAGTTTTCTGTTTCTTGAACTTCTTTCAACTCAATTTCTCTTTCTCTCTCTTTTTTTTTTTTTTCGCAATTATTTTTATTAATATTTTTAATATTAATAAAAATAATTTAATATTTTTATCATATTTTTCAACACTTTTCAATTTTTTTTTCCTCAATTGCTGTCTTGTCTGCAGTTTTTGTGTATATATATATATATATATATATATATATATATATATATATATATATATATATATATATATATATATATATATATATATATATATATATATATATATATATATATATATATATATATCTGTGTGTGTGTGAGTGTGCGGCCGTGGCGCAGTGTTTAGAGCGCCTGCTTTATAATCAGAAGATCCAGGTTCGAAACGAGGTCTGGACAAATTTTCGCGTCACGGTAAGGAAGGAGGCGTGAACTTCCTGGTTAAATGCACTTCCGCGCCAACTTTTATCTTGCTACCTTACATAAGATCGTTTCTTGGAGTTTCTTAAGGGTAAGAATGAATGTTTTCAAGATAAATTATTTAACCAATGACTCTGAAGAGTTAACTTATTTGTTCTGTTCATATAATTATTGATTGCTTAGTTGTCACATTTCTGAATGTTTGTCACTTCTTTTTGTCCAATTACTTTTTTTATAGGAAAATCCACAACACCCAAAATATCTTTAGAGCAAACGAAAACTAAAGGTACTATCAAATTTTTTTTTTTCTCACTAAATCTGTTAAAATAAATCCATTGATTGATTCGACTTCAAAAATTATTTTTAAATGAAATTTAATTCTCTCCACGACTTTGTTAAAATTTAAGTTTAAACCTTGAAACAAAAGTTTAATTTTGAATAAAGGATTGGTCACACTCTAATCATAAGAACTGATAAACGTTCTTATCATTAGAACTGATAAACGTTTTAATCATTAGAACTGATAAACGAACAATACAAAAACAATTTTGTTTTTGAAATTAGAGATAAATTGCTAAAAAATCTGCTTACAACAGTCCGTTTGGACAATTCCAATTCAAAAAATATTAGTTTATTCCATTCTAAAGATTCATCACTTTATCCACCAATGATAATTGACAAGCCAAAAACAGTACCTAATCGCTAACGCTTTAAAATTTGTAATGCTAGAGTCAACTGGATATTTAAATCGGGGGTTTTATTTTCTATAGCTTTAATAATCGCTGCAAAATCAGAAGAACAAAAAAAACCATTTTGCTCATCAAAACACAATAACACCCAATATAAATATGTTTATAATATAATATGACTCAGGAGTTGGTCTGCTGAATGCTTGGGCCTAACACTCCTTATTATGGAAGTTTTAATATCCGAAAGTAGATGCTTATATATGTATTTTATTTTATCAATTTTTTATTCGTTTTATTCATTAAGGTTCGTTTATTCATTAAGCGTTTTATTCAATAAAGTTGAATAAAACGCTAATGAATAAGCATTAATGTACACAATAAAAACAGACTGTATTTAGGATACATTGTTTGATTACAGTTAGATACCTATTGAGGGTCTTGCATATCAAGCTCAGCCAGAATCTGCATTCCAATAAATATAGTCTTTTGCATTGTCCGGGTTATAAATTAATTAATTCTAATGAGCCAAAAATCATTCATCCTGGAAAATTGAAAGAGAAATATTTATAAATCTATATTAGACTATAATTTTATAGTCGAATATAGATTTATAAAAAACTGACAAATAAGTATTTAAAAAAAAACAAGGTTCAAAAAAAAGTTTTTTTGCGTATTAGATCAAAGCATTTTACATCAGTTATAGATGAAATTTTTATGCAAGCGTAATCCAACTTTTTTCATAGCCATAAGTAGCAACTCATAAACCTACTGAGTTCTTCTTTTGAGAAAGAAGCTGTAAAAAGAATTATACAAAACTTTTTATAGATGGTAAAATCTCAATAAAATTTTTATTAGATCTTTGTAGATTGTGAAAAATCGGAAGAAAAAATGTATTGTTAAAAGTATTTTAATAAATTATCGATTATTGAAATTATTTCTTTGAAATTTTGTTAAAAAAGAGTTGTAGTAAAAAACTTAATGTTTATTGCTTCTTGTCTTATTTAAACATAAGACAAGAAGCAATAAACATTAAGTTGGTCTATGTTTAGTGCATTCCTTTTTCTTGACAAAGAGTTTGCATAAATTAAATGTTTACTAAAAATTATTAAACATGATACATGCTTTTGATGACGATAAAAAGAGTTTGCTTTTATTGGTACGGTCTATGCAATATTTATACCAGCCACTGTAGCGCTGTAATAAGAGAGCATGCATCATAATGAAAGAGTTTAAAGTTTGATTCAAGCTCTGGCCAAATTTGTGACATTGGTAAGAAAGAAGGCATGATTTCCTCATTACTTTTTTCTTTATAGGGCTCTCATTCATTGCTTGAATAGTACTTCGGTACGCAAAAATGTTGGTCGATCACGGAAGTTACTTTGGAGTAGTCTTTATGACTATTTGTGACTATTTCTATGCAAAACCAACAATATCCTTGGATATAAGAGCATTGTATAGCAAAGTGTAGCATGAAAACTCATGTAACATGTAACTTCTTGAATTCAGGCTGGCATGGAATCTTTTATTCTCTCTCAACAATACCAATTTAAGCCTCTTCTACATGTTTTTTAACCTCTTCTACATGTTTTTCCTTTCATTGTGCTTATATAATTTCCAATCGTAACTATTGACGTAAATTTTTTTTTAGGTGCTCTAATAAGTCCTTACGGTCTTACCACAGAGCACCCCGAAAGAGCATTTCAAGAGTGTTCTCTTGTGCAATCTACAAAAATTCATTCTCTTGTTACTCGTCATTCAATTAATTCTCATCTTTTTACTGTGACCGTTCTTAAATGTTCCAAAAACTTTCATTCGACTAGTTTTTTTCCTCGAACATTAGTTCTTTGGAATTCACTTCCTTCTTCTTTTTTTCCTAATTCATATAATTTGCAACCTTTTAAGTCGTTAATCGTTATTTTGCTCTATAAAATTTATCTGTTCTCTTCTAGTAAGTCTCAACTCTAATAATAGTTGCTTGCAGCCTTGTTGGAAGTGAAAATGTTATAAAAAAGATAATAAATAAAAGAATTTTTATTATCGAAATCAAAGAATATAAAAATTTGTATATAGGTCGCGATTTAACAGCAAGTCAAAGATTCATTCTAAAAAATAAATTAGTAAGACGAAACGAAAAAAAAACGCGTTCAAGAAAAATTAAATTTCATTATGGTTATAGAAATGATAATCTTACTCGAATTTTTCACAAATAGCCACTAGTAACCACTAATTTAGTAAAGTCATCAAAAGTATCTCCCCAAAAAAAGACAAATATTGACTATACTCGAATAAAATCTCAACATATTCAAGATCAACTGCTTAACAAAAACAAACTGAACACTTCTTACTTTGAATTGAATAAAGCCACTAATTAAATAATAAATTTATAA